TCTCTTTCATTTTATTTTTCAACTCCCTTTTCTCTTTTCAATCTTTTTTTTTTCTACCGTTGTGCCGTTTGTCTGTCCTCAAATGTGAAACGAGAGATCTACTCTCTCCCTGTGTGTTAGTAATTCGAGAAACGACCAATTAACATTCTCAGAAATGCATATGTTTCTTGCAGAGGAGATGAAGGGCTTCCTCTGGTGAACGGTCTTCCCTCATTTTCAAAGGTAAACATAGGGGAATTGTCTTGCGGATTTTACTGGAGTTTCATGTTGAAAAATTATCGTCTCTCAGAATATTGAAAGAAAATTTTTATAATAACGGAAAAGATAGCAAGATAGCAAAAGACGTGCACCAGCAATAGATATATGGAGCTGATATACGGATATATTTTCTAAATCACTCAGTAACGAACAATTGACATTTTTTGGACTCCACTAATTAAATCAGCCACCCCTCACCCCACTCGCACCCTCATGCCAAGATTGCCAACCGAAATATTCCTCTTAACTCCTCATTCTTTGATACTAGTAATTTTTACCGCTAATTACACGTCCCTCAAGCCCAAGCCCAAAAAACCCTATTTAAGCGGCAATTATTCACCAAAGGTCTTTAAAAATATTCGAAAATCATAAAATATATGTTTGCACGTCTCAATTATTTACCATGACATTACCAATTCCATTGAGAGAAAAAAATCGATGAAAAAAAAGTTAATGACTGCAAAAACCGGGGATAACTCTCCGAAGAAAAACGATATCAACATGAACATCTCCACCATTAAATAAATTGTGACTTAATGGGGCCAAAAAAATCAAGAAAATGAGGATTAAAATTCCTAATTGCTGCTCCTGACCTTCACCAATCAAATATTTATCCCCCTCTTCCTCGTCTGGCCTGTGCTTGTCAACGATATGATAATTACGATAACTTGAATCACGCTAATCTTAACGCACGAGAGCGGCGTCATCTAACTCCAGACCAAATAAAAAACCTTTTTTAAAAAAAAAAACAAGAATTCCGGTTATTCCGCCAAAGGTAACAATCTCCTCCCTCCCAGAACCATCTTGTAGTTGATATTGCGCCGCGTCATGGGCTGCTAAAACGCCCAACAATGTCACTGAATGACCCTCATTACAATCCGATAGAATCCCAACTTATTTAAAACGATGAAACATCAAGTGATCGTTTAAAATACTACTGGGGAAACAAAAAATAAATGCCTCACCTGCCTTTGTCCAACTTTCACCAGTGTCCTCGGTTCAGCCTCTGGATAATCTGGCAATGATCGGAGTAATCCAATGAAAATGCACTCAACTCACTGAACACGAAAAGATTACACACCACTATTATCTACACTTAATCACTAATCGAATCACTGAGAAATTTCACTACAAAACTTGAATAATTGAATAGTTGTTACTGAAGGATTTCGGTTTGATCACCTCCTAGGAGAGTTGAAACAATTTGCCACTGCAGAATCTGAAAAAGAAAAAACAACACATTTTTAACTGAATTTAATTTTTCCAATTTGATCCGTAATTTCAAATTTTTAATTTTTTATATTTCTGTTATGTCGAATGGCGGTTTTTGGATGCGAATTTTTCGAAAATTCAACCGGTTATTTTAAATACTGTAATGGGAACAGCGTGCAACATTGTCTCAATACTTTTGTGTCATTAAGACCGAGGAAATGTCCGTCGCCATTTAGTACCTGACAATGCTTTTTGCATTGCCACTTCTGGAGATGATTAAGTAAAAAGGTTTTCCTTTGAATCGTTTTTTCCTGGGATCTTGGAAACGATCGGGGGAAAATGAGCATGTGCGCAGTATTTTAAATCAGAAATATCTCTCGGGATTAAATGAGCTCTTTTTGACATGGAGATTTGTAAAGCCAGATGTTTATAGAAGTGGGAGGGCTCCAGCAATTACATTATTTTCAGGAAAGAGTGCATTTTGAGATCTTTATAGTGTGGAAACCGGCTGAGAACCACTCACGTGAGGTCTAATGGTCTGACTTGGATACGATTATGCAGAGGATATATCATCTGATAGATCTCCATCATAATTTTTTGGAATTACAAATTGCTATCCATAGTTTAGTGTCTCTGGATTTTCCTTTGAAGCTGCAATGTTCACCCGATATTCATGGCGATCAATTTTTCAAACAACTTAAAAAACCAACACGACAAAGAAACATGAAATTACTAGGAAATTCTTCACTGACGAATCTAATAATATCTCAACCACCCCAACAATTGTCCACTCAATTTTCGATCCATCAAAAATCAAATTGTCCTTGATATTCAATTTCCTCGAATTTTTTCAAGATGGACGACAGACTGCATGAACAATCTTGAGAGTTTAACCTTAATTAGCGGGAAAATCGTAAAAATTGAAGAAGCGTCCTCTGCCCTCTAACCCCCAATTCACCGAAACAATTCATCCACCTGCACCAGAGGTGCACCTATTCCCCAATGAAGCTGATAAAAACTCACCTAATCATCACAACTGGAAGATCATCTGTCACGGAATAAATCCAGCACAAATAATCCACGACATGCGATGAAAACATCCCGGCGATGCCATGCCGAATCTCCTCACCAGCATGACTCCCTCTGACTTTTGTCAAACAAACGTGAAGACACTTGTCTGGCAGTGGCCATGGTCGACCGCTGGCATCTCCCGTATATTTTGCACAATAAAAAAAATCCCCGAAGAAGGCCCTGAGGATGGGAGATCGAGGGATCGGTGTCACTGAACCGTTGAAAGTAAACCGAACGCACTCGAGTATCACTTTTTTTTTTTTCTCCTTCAACAACTCTTTTTCCTTTTCCCGAAGAACAATCGGGTCTACCACTTGACGAAGAGCCACTCGGTTACTCCGACGCAGTGTATACGACGGGTACCTATAATCCCAGGTACACTGCAACCAGCGGCTACTTTATCGTGACGATCTACCAAGAGCATTAAAACACATCGTGCATTCCACACCGTTGGAGTCTTCTTAGAACCTCACTCTCTGCAACTTCAGTTTGTTTGATTATTATTTCGTGGGGGTTTGAACATTTTTGGGGGTTTAACTGGATGGGGCTATTTTTTTATGAGGGGGATGGAATCAGGTGACGAATAAGGACGCGGGAACGTTCACCGTGGCGTGGAAGAGTACGACTGAACCTCGAGATGATGCCCCCCTGGCGTTTCTCCTTCCATTGGGCCCCGCTATCCACCTCCACCTGCTGTAAAGGGACTCGCGGAATCGCAATTCTCTCTCTCTTGTGGCGTACGACAAGGACATTCGACTTCGATTTATTATTTTACAGGGGTGATAAGAGCACCTTCTGGATTTTACGTTAGCAATCAAAATGACTGTTCTTCATTTTTTGGCCCAGTAATTAGTGAGGACTGCACTTCGTCGTCAGACATTGATTATGATTATTGTGGGGTATTGAGGTAATTTGTTGGCTGTTCTCAATTGACGTTTGTCAATTTATATTATTTATATTATAATTTTTATATGAAAATTAATTTAAAAATTGAATAAATAATTTATATTATATGTTATAATTAAATTTTTGGAAATACTTTCGTGAAATTATTTTACATGAAATTATAGGAATTTTCCAGTGGTTTAGTGGCAATTGGAATTTTAAGTTTTTGATTGTTTAATGTTTGTTGTTAATAGGGAAGCTGCTGGCCTGGAGATTTCAGGTGAAATGTTGGGGGAAAGAAAAGTTTATATTTTTTTCTGGAAGCACTTGTTTCTGAGGTAATTGCGGAAATGAATGATGAGAATCTGGAAGGAATTGCAAGTATTCTGGATCAGGGGATTTCTATCATGTTAGAATTTTCTTACAAAAAATCAAATCATCGATTTTTCTTTCACTCTAATTTGATTAATTCACTGGAGAAAAACGGAATGAATTATTCTTTAAGACCTGTTCTAATAAATGTTTTGAGTTGTAAATAAAAATTTGTCTTAGCAAATATTTATCATATTTTAGTATCAAGATATTTCGTAATTCAAAATTTGAGGAAAAAATCAATAGACTTGATTTTCGCGATTGAAACGTAAATTTTCATTACATTTTTTTCTAAAAATTCCTATTTTTATAATCCAAAAAGTAGAGTCATTTCACAGTACATAGCAATTTTGTATTGGAAAGTATCTTCTATCGGAATGAGTAAAAGAAAATCAACGGTATGGCGGAAACGTCTGTGAGTTCTTATAAGGAAGATCTCGACAAATCTTCACTGAATAATATAAATGTATGATTCACTCAGAAAAAACTAGCGTCAAAGCCTTCGTCACTGCATTATTCTCACTCCATAATAGAATATTTATAATTAGAATCTACTGTCGAAAAATCCCCATGTCTTAAACATGACATTTGGTTCTACTATTTATTTTACTATTCATTATTATTATTTATTATTCCATTGTTATTATGACAGGTTAATTTGATTTATTACTCATCTACTTAATTCTGATTTTTCTTATTTTTGCATGTTTACCTTTGTAAAATTTTTCTCTCCCCTTTTTTCATGAGTTGAGACTTTCATCGGCTTAAAGTCATATCCGAAGGCTTCAAGAGTAATTCGATACCGCGAAAACTGGAATTCGATACTCCCTGTCACGATCAGGTTTCTCAGTACTCGAGAACGCATCAAATTCATCGAACTAAAAGTTCTTGCCTTTTATTTTCACCACAAAAATGTGAGTTAATGAAGATCGGTGAATAAAAAGCGCGTGATCCACGTTCCTTTTGTAAATTATCTCCGAGAAAATGATAAGTACATGTCGAGGAATCCGGAAACACAGGAACTCATTCCCAGAAATTCGTGGGTAGTCGGTGCTGATGAAGGAATTCCAACGATTTGTAATGTACTTTCAGTCGGTAAGCAACGAGATTACAATACATTTCTTGAGATTAACTCTAGAGGGCCACCTGTGAAAGAGATCCACAAAACGTTCAAAAAAGAAGCAAAACAAAACAAAATACACCGAAAAATTGCAACCGCTTGATTTATCTCATTCGTTCTTTCGTCAAAAAAATTGTTCAAAAGTAAGAGAAAACACAGAAATTTAAAATGTGTATTGTTTGATGGTTTGGTAATAAATTTGATGGATTTATTTGAACAATGCGGGCATTGGAATAATATGAATTTTATTTTTTTGCTGTGAATCAAATCACCGGCTCGAAACTTCAGAGGTGAGAGGAGACAAAAAATGTAAACACACGGATAGAATGATGTGCTCGTTAGAATTTCAGTCGAACGAGTTGTTGTGGTATTTTGCGACCGTTTTTAGCGTTTTTGATTAATTAATTAGTTATCCGAGATAGTGAGAACGTTTTTAATGTGGAGTGTTAATTGATGGACGATGGATTCCTGTAAAAATCACTCGAACAAATCGAAAACGAACAGGAGGCGGAGGAATTCTGTGCTATTCCATGGTTCAGGGAATGAAGGTGTAATTTCGATGAGAGAATTCGGTGAGAATTCTGAAGTGAAGCTGAAAGGGTTCCAGAATGCTGAATGTTCTTTGAAGCGCCAACAGGTAAAATTTTTTGATATTCAGAATTATCTGGATGATTTCTTATTTATAATTTTCATATTTTTTCCAGAGAAGAAAAGCATTGGGTGATGTTAATCGTTTGTCAGTGGCTGGTCCAGTGATGACGATCGATTGTTCATCGAAATTGGTAAAAAAAAAATTGAAATTGTTTATTTATCAGGGATCACACGACATTTCCACGATTTTTATCTGTATTTTTTTTTTACATCACAGTTAATTATTTTTGGTGATGATAATAAACTCTCGAACGGAAAAAATACGACCAGAATCAATTTTTTATTTCACCGTTGGGAGTGATCTAGAAGTTTTAGGAATGAAAAGGGATTTTTTTTTTACTAAATCGAATTATTTTTCTTGTATATTTTCCTACTGATTAAGTAATCAATGATAAGAGACATCTCCCCCCCCCCATTTTTTAAGTAGATGTCTCAATATCTTAGTAAACTCAAGCAATTTTCGATTTAAAATTTCAACATGGTCCTGTCCTTGAATCGAAATCAGCCTTTCGATTTTCATTGCGTCAGTTGATGAAATGAAAAAACTATTTTCTACTTCGGAAAATCAACGATCACTTCTACAAGAATTTCCCAACCTTTACAGATTAATCGACCTAGACTCGTCGAAAAAATTCAAGCACAGGAGAAGAACGTGAATTTTTTCGCCAAGCCCAAGAAAGATTTTTCAAAAAATCGGAAGAGTCCAGAGAAACTTAAAATGCTGAAGGCACCACCTGCCAGACATTTGTACGGTCTTCTAAGTCAAACCACGAGATCTCATGAAGCCTCCATAACTTCCCTGTGGCATACGTGGGAGGAAATTGAAATTACTGGAGATGATTCCGATGATTGCATCGAAATTCTCGACGAAAATTTCTCCGCAGATGAATCGAGCTGTTCCATTCCGGAGATCAACAACAATCAAATTAAAATGCCAAAACTGAAGAGACAAATACTGGAACAACGGATAATTCCAGCTTACTCGCGAGAGATTCTCAATGAATGGAAAAATGCCGGCTTTAAGGGACCGGAGATCAAAGAGGAGAAAATCTACTGGCAAAAGGACTTCAATATTCAAAATTTCTTGAAGAGGAGTTACAATCCTTACCTCCATTTTCTCAGTGAACATCGACAGTGCTTTCCCAGTGAAACAGCTGTCAATTTCCTCAGCAACTGTTTTAAAAACATTAAAAAGGCGAAAATTGAGGAAACCTATGAAATAGCGAAGTATAATATGAGCAGAGCAGCTAGAGTTCTGAGACTGTCGAAATCCTCTCGGGGAAAACGCAGGCAAAATCGTCCCATTGAGCCTGAAAATATAACTCAATACCAAGAAATGGAATTCATCCGATATTTCTGCAAACTGCCGTAAACATATAATACCAAGATTATTATTATTTTAAATTACTTCATACGTTAGAAATAAACCAGAGTAATATACGTCAGAAGAAAAATACAGTCCCGATAATTCGATCGGTGACAAAATTTTTTTTACATTTCTAACAAAATAGGTCGATTTACATTTTTCAAAGTCAAAATAAAAATTAAAGAAAATCCAGCATATTTATTTCACTCGAAACTTTCGTATTCGCAATGTTCTTTTTGCTCTGTATTGATTAATATTTAATTTATGTAATAAATGCAACCGTGGAACCAAGAAGAGTGAAAATTTATTTTTATTTTTTCCGCATGAATTTTCACTTCATTCCCACGCTCTTGATTTTATGAGATTATTCTCATTTCTTTGCTGATAAATTTCATACAATTGTAAAATGCAGTTCATATTACGATGTACCATTTACTATTCAATGATGAGTTACCGACATGACCGATACATTTTTACGTGAACCTGGGCGCCATCCCTTCTGTGGAGTTGATATCTCGGAGGGTTGGGGATGTCTCGAACGTCTTGACCAGAGATTATCTTCAACCTGGAAAATCTTCTTCTTCCGTCCCTCCCCGTTGTTCAGGATCCCGGCAATCCCCACCCATTCAACACCATCACCAACAGTTTCAGTTGGCAGCAGTTCCCCCAGAAAACATGGCGTGACACGATGGCTGTCTCGAATTACGAAAGAGCACAAAATCTTTCCCGGGGGAATAATTCTAATTCGACAACGTTAGTGAGAAAACCTCGTTCAGTAGTTCATTTAATTCTCTACTGTGCGTACACGAATAAATGTAAAATGAATTACGACATAACATGGATTATTCCAAAATTGAGGCAACCCACGAGAATATGGCACTTTGCTAGCTCTTTAACATTCGCCGCTGTTGGAATATTCTCCAAAATAATTATACGTAAGTAATTACCCATGATAACCCTGAGACATTCATCAGGATAACACGAAAACCAGATATAACGATGACAACTTCCTAGTTATTACCAGGACTTCACTATTATTCTCACTCTTCGTGTATCCAATTCATCGATTGATTGAATCGTTTGTCATTCGCTATAATTCTCATTTATGTAGAGTGGCTGAATAAAACGACGGTCTT